TGCTCAGTTCTGATTTAAAGCGACAGCATTTTTCCCCCTTGCAAAATAAGTTTTGCCATTCTTTTTCTTCTCTCCCCCCCCTTCCTCCCTCTCTCCCTCTCTCCCCTCTCTCTCAAACAGACACACACACAGAGAGAGAACTTGGATCCCTCTTTCACTCACTCACTCTCAAACAAACACAAACACAGAAGTTGGATTGGATATATTTTCCAAAGGCTTGAAAGCAGCTCTCTGCCATACCCCCCCTTCCCCTGCTGCCTTCCGATCGGAGCCTTTGATTGCAGGTGAATTGCCTTTTCAGTGAAGCTGGGCTTATATACTTTTATCCAGCTGTGTGTGTGTGTGTGTGTGTGTGTGTGTGTGTGTTTGAAAAGGCAACGTGGTTCTGCATGCAATCAAACCTTTTGAATTCCTCCCCCCTCCCCACACACGCACCTTTTCCAGCTGTTTCAGAGAGGATTTCAACTCTGCCCTCATGAAAGGCCAGAGCTCTGAGTCAGACTGAGCTAGTTGCTCCCCAGAGAACTCTAAAAAGCCTCTAAAAATGCCCTCTACAGGAGGCGAGAGAACACGTGCCTCCTTTGCATAGGAAATTTTTTGCTTTTTAACCCTTGCTTAACTCTTAAAAGGCGAAAAATTGCTTATGCACAGGAGGCCCCTAGTTCTCTGGCCTCCTCCTATAGTTAACACTAAGCACTGTTCCAAGTCACTGTGACTTGGAATCTGGTAGCAACTACCTTGGCTTTAATTATTTTTTAAAAATTCTTTAAAATTCTTTCCTTTTCCTCATGACTGGTGAGGCCATGCCTCCCCTGCCTCTAGTGACTGCATGTCCCTGCTGGGGGAATTCTGGGAGTTGAAGTCCACACATCTCAAAGTTGCTGAGGTTGCAAAACATTGAACTAAGCTAGTCACTTCCTTGACTTTTTCCTAGCTGTTTCCTCCCACCTTGGTTTCTCTGGGTCTATTTTTCTCAGTGGACTCCCTAGATTTGCACTTGCCTCTACATCTGTTCTGTGCAACTGAACACACCTTTTGTATCTTCTCCAAATTAGGCTTTGTTCATTTCTCTCACTAGTTCCAGGTTTCTTACAAGCTGCCCTTTTTCTGCTAAGAAGCCCCTTGTCTCTCCCTATGATCAAATTACTTTACAATTTTTACCATTTATTTTTACACTCATGAGCTCTTTCTTACATCCTGGTAATTGCAAGTCCAGGGCTCCAGCTTCCTAATACACAAGATATTTCCTTAATACCAAACTTCTATACTTGTGCCATTTCCCCCACTCCTCCCATTTTACTGCAACCTGCTGGGCTGTACCATCAGTAAATTAAAACTAATATTTCAGGAATCTGTGGGCAAGTGATGTGCCATCTGGGCTGGGGATTTAGAATGGGGAACTCCAGGGGTCTATTTTCAACAAAGTTAAGGAAAGGTTTTTCTTTTTCTTATCCACATACTGCTCATTTATTCTCTCCATATATTTAATTTTTTTTCACTCACCCAACCCTGAGCAATGGGGATGAATAAAAATATTATAAAACAAATTAAAATTAGCCATAAACAGCAGCCAAGAAAACCATACTATAAAAATTCAAATTATACTAAGTGAATGCCACCTACTGTTTGCTTACCACTAAACAGAGAAAACAAATTCAAGCAAAATGTCTTTGCAGAACTTTAGGAAAATATTCAAGTGTATTGTCTGGCAGGTTGCCAGAGGAAAAGAGTTGTACTGTCGCATAATTTCCAAGACATATATTCACATAAGCACTGGAAGTCTGTAGCCGCAGAAAACAGAGCCTGGGCATGGTGATTTGGCTATGAAGTTTTGGCATTTGACCAAAAATGTGCATTTTTAATCATTTCAGAATTTGAGCTGATTTGGTGCCGCATCTGCACCACCTGAAAGTCCAATATGTCTTATATTTAGTGTATTACTTTAAGAATGTTGAGGTCAAAGCTACATGTTCTATAGAAAATCTTTTAACAGAAATATCAGAAGTTCCAAGAATGATAAATGGTATACGTTGGCCTTATATACATATATGGAAATTCTCTACCAATGCAGATGACAGCAAGGACAGTGCAGAAACCTGATCCTGGAATAGCATCCTCTTAGAAAGCTTGGACTTCCTTTGCAAGCCTTTAGACATTTTTTAAAAATCTGGAGTTTTCCCCAAGCTCTTCGAATAAGCTGGTGGTACTGTATGCTCATCTGTTGGTTTTGATTTGCTAGGTGTTTCACTTGTTAGGTGATGTTCTTTGAGATGGTCATTTTTAGGTATTGTACTGGTTTTAATTGTATGCCACTCATAGTGGGCTTTAAGGGTTTTTTGCCGGGGGGTGGGGGGGGGGAGGTTGTCTTCAAGTCAGTATTGACTTCAAATGCCCAGATTAGTTTCTGCAGTTTCCCTGGCAAGATTACAGAGATGATTGCCTCCTTCCTAGGGATGAGCAAGAATAGTTTGTCCAAGAGCACCTACCTAAGTTCATGCCTAAAGCTGGAGTAGAACTCAATCTCCTTCTTTCTAGCCTGGTGCCTTTACCATTATAGGTACTCCTTGACTTACAACTGTTTGTTTAACAGATGTCTAGAATTACAATGGTCTCAGAAATGGTACTCTGTGGTCCACAAAATGTTGTACTACCATCCCATTCATGTTTGTTTAATTTATATTTCACATTTCTGAACCACCCATCTCCCTCAAACCTTCAGCCAGCTATGTTGAAGAGCTGTTTGTATCTCAGTTTGGAATTCATGCCTCCATAGGCTCCCAAGAGACTGGTAAAAACAGCAGGATGTTATTCTAGTTCCACATCTTGTTTCTAATACATGTAATCAGAAGTGGTATTCAACCAGTTCTGACAGGTTCTAGCGAACCAGTAGGGGAAATTTTGAGTAGTTCAGAGAATGGGAATGGGGATTTTGCAATATCCTTCCCCTGGAGTGCGGTGGGAATGGGGATTTTGCAGTATCCTTCCCCAGGAGTGGGAAGGGAAGGGATTTTGCAGTATCCTTCCCCTGCCATGCCTTCCAAGCCACACCACGCCCAAGCCATACCACACCCACCACATACCACGTCCACCAAACCATGCCCACAGAACTGGTAGGGAAAAAAATGAATCCCGCCACTGCATGTAATCCTCCACTTACAACCACAATTGGGGCCAGAATCTTGCTTTTTGAGAAAAGTGGTCATTAAGCAAGATCTCACATGACACTTTGCTCAACAACTGCAGCCCTGGCTCTCCTAGTTATGGTCATCAAGCCCACTAGAGAGAACAATCATGAGAATGCTGACATTTGCTAGCACTTTTTCCAGTTTTGAGGTTTGTTCTTCCAGTACACTGAGGGATTTTTCTCTTCCCTTCCAGAAAAAGACTCAAAACGATCAGAAAGGCTCAGAAAATTGGCATTCACTACCAATTCGTCCTCTTTTTCAGTCTTTCTGAGCCTTCTGGAGAGGAAAGGAAAACACTAGTTCAGAATGCTTGCGTTCCCTAGCATCTGTGCCAGATTTGAGGTTCATTCCTCCAGTTCATAGCGATAGCTACAGCACTTAGACTTATATACCACTTCACAGTGCTTTACAGAGTCAACATATTGATCCCAACATTCTGGATCCTCATTTTTCCCACCTTGGAAGGATGAAAGGCTGAGTCAACCTTGAGCCGGTGAGAAATGAACTGCTGGCAGTTGGCAGAATTAGCCTGAAATACTGCATTGTAACCACTGTACCATGGCAGCTCTTTTCACAGAATTTCCTTCTCTGAATGGAGAGGAGGGGAAACCCCTCAGCATGCTAGGAAAACAGCCCTTCAAATCCAACTTCCCCTCCTCTCACAACCTTCCCCACTGAACTGATTTTCTGAGGAAGCCAGCAAAGAAGCTTGGGAATTGAAACCACATGCTCGTAGGACACTTTGCAAAGGGTTGTAACTACCAATGGGTTGCAAAGTGCCAGAAATACAGCATACGACCAAGGTTGCGCAATATTTTATAATGACTGGAAGTGTTTGTAAAGCACTCATTCTAAGGTCGCTGTGACTGCGAATAGTTAAATGACTGGTCATAAATTACAGACTATCTGTACTAGAACATAATAGATGATTCTCTGGTTGGAGCATGAAGCTAATCACCTCCTTCTGTGCTAATTTTTGAATGGTATCATTCAATTTTTGTTATGAATAATAAAGATAGGATTCTCTGCCATTCACTCACTTAACTTCTCTTTTAGTGTGTAATGGTGAAGTGAGGAGTAACATCTCCAAGGAATTACTGAGGACTACGAAAACTTCTCTAAAGTATCTTCTCCATTTGCTTTTGCAGCTTTCAACTAGAAAACACTTAATTCATACATAGCAAAAACCTTGGCTACCCTTATCATGGTCTCCTTTGCCATTCCTTCACATTCACACATTCCTTCACATGAGCAATAGCCATTCCTGCAGAAGTTGAAAATAAATGGCATTTCTTTCTCCACTTTCCCACAGTGGGAGGGAGATAGATTTATTCAGCCTTTATTCAGCCAACACTCTTGAACTCCCAAGGAGAAAAAAAAACAGATGTTTGAATCGACAAGGAAAATGAGACTGGAGTTCCCATTAGATCTCCCTGGGAAAATCCCAAAATATAAGGCTGCCATATCTAAGCTGCAAAAAAAAAACAAAAAAAAAAAAACAAAAAAAACAGATCAGAGGGTAGTAAAGAGTTTTCCTATCATTTTACTGCCACCTAGGGAACCGCTGATTTAATGCATCGGAGATGGATTATCCAGAAATGCAAATAACGTTACATCAAGGAGAGAACGTAAAGTATCATCCCCGACTCTGCCAAAGATTGTGGAAGGGAGAAAAAAAATAGCAACAAGGATGACTCGAACGCCTCCAATCGGCCATTTTTTTGAAAAGCAAAGAGCAGCATCGCATCAACCGCCGGGTGGGCGGTGCTTGGCTTCCAGGGCAACCGGAGAGAAGCGAAACGCATGCGCACACCACCCACTTTCCTCCCAACCGTCTGCGGCACCCGCGGCCGGTGGCGATCGCCATGTTGATGCTGGGCAGGGGGCTGGATGCCAGGTAACGGGTCGCGGAGGGTAAGGGAGGCTTTCGGTCTGGAGGAGCCCGCTCGGGTGGCACACTCCTGGCGTGGCGTGTGTGCTCATCCAGGAATGGACGGTAGCGTTGTCCGGGTATGGCGACGGCCCACCCGCCCTGCTATTGAAGAAGGGGTTTGTGTTTGTCAACTTAAAATCATCCTTCCTCATCTCGATCAGGGCATGTGGGAATAGTAGTCCAGCGTAAGCTTTAGGGCAGGGATGGGGAGCTATGGCCCTTTTATGGCTTGTGAATTTCAACTCCCAGAATTCCTGAGCCAGGATTGCTGACACAAGACTTTTGGGAGTTGAAGTCCACAAGTCATAAAAGGGCCAAAGCTCCCTATCCCGGCTTTAGTATTTTGGCGGGAAACGCTGGAGACTGTCTCGGCATCCTCGCTCTGATCCTGAATGAGGCGCGCGAGGCCCTCAGAAGTAGCGCTCGCTCCCAGCCCCGAGGTCCATCACCGACGTGGCAGCGTGCTCGGGGCCTCGCCCGCTGAGAGAAACTCCTCCGGCTTCTTTCCCTGGACACAAAAGCCATTGGGATCGATTTTTCACCAATGAACTAAAAGCCGCCTTGCCGTGTCCCTCCCATATATTAAAAGGGGCGAGCGAGAGGAGCCATTGCCTTTAGGACAGGACTTCAATAAACTGGTCATGTATGGTCATGTTAGATTTTCCTTAGCAAAACAATGTGATAAGCAAAGGGGATTTTGTCCCTTACCTTTTATACATACTTGTCTACTGCAGGGAAGTATTTATTCTCTATGATGTGTTCAACTAATGAGTTGCTTTTCCTAAAAACAGTTGCTTTCATGTAAGTATAACTTCATATCCATCCATCCATCCATCTTTATATGTCACTTGCCTTTTGCAAGCCACTACTGCAGGAAAGTATCATTCTCTATGTATGACATGTTCGACTAATGATTTGCTTTTCCTAAAAGCAGTTACTTTCATGTAGGTATAACTTCTTACTTATTTACATGTATTATATCCAGCAATTCCCCTCCACTTAGGGCCACGTAGAGATACAAAACAATAAAAACAGTTTAAAACATGCAATCTCACAGTCCAGATTAAAACAATAAACTAAAACAGGGCTTGCATAAACCCCAGGTATAATATCAAATCCTGTTTTAAATGCTTTGGGGAAGATTAGGAAAAAGCAGTATAGTTTGATAGCCTATGCTATTCTAGCAAATAGTGTTTCTAGCAAAACTGTAGGTGATTGTTTTTAAGGAAGCTCCACAAACAGAACCTCGTTAAAAAAAGACAGCCCCCCCCTCCAGTTTCACAAGAAATACTACTATGCTGACCAGCTTTAAGCTCCCTTGCCTGCTGAATAGCCAGGTTAGCAGCCAGTTGAGACCTGGGGAATCACAAGGGACAGAGGAAGCAGGTCAGCAGAAGCAACTGGCACACAGAGGGCAGTTGCAGTCTGTAGGCCGAGTCTTATTTCCCATCCAATCACCCAAGATGATCATAAATCAAGATTTATCTGTATAGGTTCCATTTTCTATTCAGATTTAATGGACACTCATATCTAACAAATGTTGCTTCCCCCATTAGTCTGTTGAAAGTTAGCTGGTATTGTTGGGTGTGTTTATAATTCTCAACACTACCTTTTGCCTTTATTAACATAACTCTTCTCTTTTAAATAGAGATAACCAGACCAGGCAAATACGGGAAGCTGTTTCAAATGTGGAAAAACATTTTGGTGAATTATGCCAAATATTTGCAGCATACGTACGAAAAACTGCCAGGCTACGAGACAAAGCAGACCTTTTAGTAAATGAGATACATGCTTATGCCGCTACAGAAACACCAAATTTAAAGTTTGGATTGAAAAATTTTGCAGATGAGTTTTCCAAGCTTCAAGATTATCGCCAAGCTGAGGTATAAATTTACATTCATGCATTTTCTTATGGCAGTACTCAAATTTTGAGTGGTTTGCATGTTATGACCATGATAATAAATGAATTACAATTAGAGCTATTGGAATCTAATACTATAGTGTAACTTACCCATAAATAGAACTTTCAATCTTTTGATACATTTCTAATGTTGTCCCTCTGATTCGTTCCAGAATAAATTTTCAAAGAATTAAACCCCTTTTTCAGTATATTAAGATACCCTAACAAGGGGTTGTGTGTTTAAGATGGATTTGAATGTAATCTTTCACTTTAAACTAGCAAATTAATAATTGTATTTTAAACTAAATGATGAGTATGCTAATAAACATGTCATTAGATTTATTTCAGAACAAGTTTTTTCTGCTGCAATTTCCTTCTTGATTATTTTCTATATTTCAGATTCACTGAAAGTAATGGGAATTTATGCAATGAAAAATTCTAGAATGATTCATCATGACCTCTTTTTATAGGTAGAAAGACTTGAAGCTAAAGTTGTTGAACCTCTGAAATGTTATGGGACCATCATAAAACTTAAGAGAGTATGTAACAGACTTTGTTTCCTCTTTTCATGTTTTAAGGTAGTTACCCTCGATTTACGACCACAATAGAGGCCAAAATTTCTGTTGAGACTTTCCTTAAGTGAATTTTGCTCCATTTTACGACCTTTCTTACCACAGTTGTTAAGTGAATCACTGTTGTTAAATTAGTGACATGGTTGTTTGGCTTTCCCCCATTGACTTTGCTTGCTAGAAGGTCACAAAAAGTGATAACATGATTATGGGACACTGCAACTATCACAAATATAAGTCAGTTGCCAAGTGTCGGAATTTTGATCACCTGACCATGGGGGTGCTTTAATGGTCATAAGTGTGAAAAATAATCATAAGACACTTTTTTCAGTGTAATTGTAACTTTGATCGGTCACTAATGAAAGATGTAAATTGAGGACTATCTGTACTTCTTCTCTAAGAACCTGGTGTTTCTAGTCTTTCTTAATTCAAATAATCAAGTCCTAAAATCTATAACGGGCTATGTAATTAAAATTCTGTATGTTTGGCTATTGAAAACTGGCAATATCCAAGAAAACTTTGAAATTCAAAAGCATATATTTACACAAAAATACATTTAACACAGGAAGCATATATATATATATATATATATATATATATATATATATATATATATATATATATATATTCATAATTTCATTTGTTCATTCAAACCTATATATAAATACACTGATTATTAAATCAAAAAAGGTTTAATATTTCAGTATTTTCTGTTATATACTGTTGTATGGAGATCGTGGAAAAAATAGATAACAAACTTGCTAGTTTTCTTTGCATAATAAAGGGGGGATTGGGTCTGCATTAATGAGTAATAAGGCTTATTCATATTTTGTCTTATTAAATCAAGACCTAAGATGGAATGCAGTGTTTTCTTACAAAAAATTGTTCCTACAAATTGCAGTAGCTATTCAATTTCAGTTGCTTTAAAGTGGGATAAACTCCCATGAAGTTTATGTGTACTTTCAGATCAGAAGCAATAGTCACAGATTAGGCCTCCTAGGTTCCATCTACTGGCCAATGTCATCTGGCTACTACCCGGGGGAGGGCCTTCTCTGTGGCTGCTCCGGCCCTTTGGAACGAACTCCCAGCAGAGATTCG